CATTTGTAGGATCCAATTAGACGGTGGGTATACAGTGCTATAGAAACGTCTGTGATTATCAAAATCCTATTATAATGCATAGAATTCAAGTTCAAAGGCAGAAGTGGAATGGTGAAACTGGAAGGTCTAGCTCATTTTCCATCTAGGTTAGGAAACTCAGGTCTAGGATGGTAAAAATGATGCGGTGGAATCAATCACAGAATCTCAGAATTGGATGGGATTTTGGAGGCCATTCACCTTAAGATGAAGGAGGATGGGAAAGGAATACATATTTATGTAGCACCAATTACATGCCAGGCACTATGCTAAGTGCTTTTTCCCCCCCAAACAAATATGTTATTTGATCCTTACAACAACCCTGAGAGGTTGGTGCTATTATTATTCCCATTTTACAGTTGAGGAAACCAAGGCAGAGGTTAAGTGACTTGCCCAGAGTTATATGGCTAGTGTCTGAGTCCGGATTTGAACTCATACCTTTCTGACTCCAGGCCCAATACTCTTCATCCACTATGTCAACAGCTGCCTCTGATGGCTATCCATATCATAGCCATCATATATGATGAATGCTATATTGGTCATAGTATAATATAGTCAGCCAGTCTCCTTATACGCTACTCTCCTACCCGCTCCATGGTCCAGCTGTCCTGCTCTACTTGCTGCTTCTCATGCATGATGCTCCGCCTCTGTGCCTCTACATGGGCTGTCCCTCACACTTGGAAAGCCATGGCTTCTTCTTAACTTTCATCTCTTAGAATCCCTGATGTCTTTCAAGATTCGGCTCAAAGGCTGCCTTCTTCAGGGAGCCTTTCCTAGTCCCCGCGGCTCCTTTCTTTCCGACGTTCCCTTCCACCCACTGTGTATGTCTCTCATTTATTTACTTATTGTTCCCCATATGAGAATGGAAGCTCCTTGAGGGCAGGGACCGTTGGGAATTTTTCTTCGTATCTCTAACACCTAGTGCAGTGCCTGGCATAAAACAGGCCCTTAATAAATGTTTGTTGATGGACTGATTGGTCTTCAATTCAACGAGCTTTATGAAAGGCCTCCTGGCTCTAGGCAGATGAGTTGAACTTTGATAGGATCTAAGGATTCCAAGAGATGTAGGTGAGGAACAGGAGTGGGAGAAAGGTATAGAGAAAAGAGATGGAATGTTGTACATGTAGGATGTGAATTTGACCAGCCTGGCTGGAACGAAGAGTGTTTGTGATGGGAAAAATGCGCGATCTTCTAGGAAAGATATCTGTGAGGGATTTAAAAGCCAAATAGAGGACTTTAGATTTTTTCAACAGGGTGTAGGGGACCATTGGAGCTCCACGAGCAGGGGAAGAACATGGTAGATGTATAGATAAGCCAGGAAGTCAGCTTACCAGGGAATTAGTTGAGACACATAGAGGTCAATGACTTGCCCAGAGTCAAATAGATGACTGTCAGAGGCAAGATTCAAACCTGGATTTTTGTGCCTCTAAGCTGAGCATGCAACCCACTGGGCAACACTGCCTCTACTTGCTACATTGATGTTTATGTCTTTGTGGAAGGAGGAAAACCAACCTGACACCATGTCATCATGAGTCTCTCAATCTTTGCTGGAAGATCTCCAATGCAAGGGAACCCACTCCCTCCTGATGCAGCCTGATTGACTTGTTCATGGTCATGTATCTGGGATGACAATCTCAGTTTCCTGACTTCTAGGTCTATGGCTCTTTCAGTACACCAGAGGGAAGATCTAGGACTACTCAACCGTATTTGTAATTACAGCTGTTCCTGACAATAAAAATCATCTTTTCAGTCTGACTCTCTTTCTACTCTGGTAGAACATAAGTTCCATGAGGACAGGGACAATCTCCTCTTTGTCTTTTTATTCCTAGTGCCTTGTACAATGCCTGGAAGTAGAAGGCTCTTAACAAATATTTGCTGAGTGATTGTCTTCCCACTCGGCTATGATGCTCATGTGTCTGTCAAATTAATGAACTGTATGTACATCATTGTAAATGTGAGGGACCTAACTGGACTGGACTCAGTACCACGGGAACATACTTTATCATTTTCTGTATTTCTAGAATTACTTAAATTATTTAAACATAAAACTAGTTGGCCCTTAAGGTAGTAGGCATTGCATTAAAATGGGAATCAGGGTCACCCATGCTTTTCTGGTAGCTAGAAAAAAAGATAGGGATCCATTTTGCCATTGTAGGCTGTGTTTTCAATCAGCCACCAGACAAAAAGGAGACATTGGAGCTAAGATTCTGCCTGACTGAGGTCTGACCTCGTAGAGAATGAGATGAAGGATCATAGATTTCAAACTGGATGAAGAGACTCTTTCAAAACATTTGCATTCCATATGCTTTAAATTTATGAGCCCAAGAGTGCCAGAGTTATCTTTACATAGTAGGTTAATGCATATAACTGAAAAATTAGTTTAGAAAAGTATTATAATTTGGGAACATTTTTTTAAATGACTCCACATATCTTACAGAGCTGCCTAAAATCCGTAGCCAAATTAGTGTGTAGTTCTCAAGGCTTCGCTCCATTCAAATAACGATCCTTCTTTCTCTGATTAATCCATTGCCTTCCTTGGATTTATATTCTTCCTAAAGTGGAAAATTCATTGTGTGGCATTCAGAAAGGCTACACATTTTTTTTTCCTGGGCCAGCCACTTTCTTTAAATCCAGCCTGCTTTAGAATTCTTAAGGATCAGAGGTTCAGAAGCCATACTGGGCACAACCTAGATAAAGATGAAGTTGGATAAAGTTCCCAATAAGACCCTCCCAAGTCAAGAGCATCCTTATGACACCTGGTATGGGGTTATGGGTATTTACATCCTCCCATGATTTTTTTTTTATGGTTCACTTCAAGTACCTCTTCCTCCATGAAACATTCTCAACTCATAGAGCCTAAGCTCATGGACATCTATGCTTCTTGTAGTATATTCTTTTCTGGGAGCCATGTTTTAGGAAGGACTTTGGCAAACTGGCTAACATACAAAAGATGGTGACTAGGATGGTGAAGGACCGGGAAAGCACATGATAGAAAGATTAGTTGAAGGAACTGGGGGAATTTATGCAACAGGGTGAGCAGTACTTGAGTCCAATCTCCCCAAGGTCCAAGGAGGAATAGAGGAGTTTATCCTCAGTGTTTGGGGGAAATATTTGTAATTTTTGTTCTTACTGTATCTTCTTGGTAAATATTGCTCTCCCCACAAAAAGGTGATTCATGTTAATTGATTAATGAAATGGGGGCACTAATTACTAGTAGTTAACAGTGAGAGGAACACATTAGAATGGAGGTTTGAGCCTTGAATTTTTAGAGAAAGACATCTCTGATCTCTCAGCAAGAACCCTAGAACCTTATGGGGAGATACATTCAGCCTTTCCCTGTCTGAGAGTGAGTTCAGAGCCTCACTAAATTCTCCCAGAGAAGAGAAGATGTGTGTATATGGGGGAGGGGGCATCATAACTGCCTCCATATGTTTGAAGGTATATGTGGAAGGACAGGATTAGACATGATTGCTGGTCAAAAGAGGGAATAGAATGAAAAGCATTGAATAGAAGATGCACAGAGGCATATCTAGGCTTGATGCAAGGAAGAACTTCATAAAATTAGAGCTGCCCCAAAGTGGAATAAGTGACCTTTGCTGGGGATACAAATACAAAAATATTTGGCACCTAAGCAGCTAGGTAGAGCAGTAGATAGAGCGCTGTCCTGGAGTCAGGAAGACCTGAGTTCAAATCCAGCCTTGGGAACTTAATAGCTGTGTGACTCTGGGCAAGTCACTTTTCCTCTGTCTGCCTCAGTTCCTTCATCTGTAAAATGGGGATAATAATAGCACCTACCTCCAATGGTTGTTGTGTGAAGCTCAAATGTGATAGTATTTGTAAGGTGCTTAGCACAGTGCTGGTACATAGTAGGCACTGTACAAGTGCTGTTATTATTACATTCTTATCATTGGATTTGTGCCATCAAACTCAGAGAGGGCTTTTTGAAATTCCATTCTAAGTACACTCATCTCCTTTTTGGTATCATTTGAGACACCAATTTTTTTTTATGTTTTTTGTTACTAGGCAACATTTCTAAAGTTTAAGTATCAATTTTCAATTTCAAAGTTTCAATGTCTCCAAGTTTCTTTGTGTTCCTTCTTTATTTCTGTTCTTCTTTCTTCTAGTGTGGACTTTGGGATGAATTTGTTTCATGTGATTGCCCTGCATTCATCAGTAATTGATTGTTGGGAAACTTAGAGCTGAGCATCTCAATGACAAAAAGCAGAATGAAGTCACTTCTTAGAGCTGGTTCCAGATTTATTTGTTGATCAGACTGACACACACAAAATGGAGGCATTCATATTTTCAGCTATTTCATGTGCACACATAGTTTGCCCACTTTTGTGATGATTTCTGCATGGAAGTACTACCAGCTGATGAGTATTGGGATTTCTGACTTGTTCTGCTGCTCTTTGACTTCTTGTGCTTAACAAATCCCAGAGGAATACCACTTATTCAGCCATCTTTCATGTCAAGCTAACCACCATGACCATTTACTGTGGGGCCAGTCTGTAGTCCTGGGATACCTGGCCTATTTCTAAGATTCATAAGCTCAGTTTCTTCACACTGTCAGGGCTGGTAACCTAATTGATGGTATCTCCAAATGGCAATGTTCCTTCTAGACCTTTTTAGACACTGTAGCGGTCTCAGTGCATGCAGAGCCAATCTGGATGTCATGCTCTTTTTTTTCACTGTTCCCCCTTCATTAACTAGATGATGGATTGGGTTTTGAGGGTCATTTATTTATTCATCTATTTATCCATCCATCCATCCATCCATCTATCTGTCCATCTATCCATCCATGTATTGATACATTTATTTTATCTATTTATTCATTTGTTTGTTCATTCATTTATTAATTTTTATTTAGTTATTTATTCCTATATTTATTTGCCTATTTACCCATTTATTTATTTGTTACTATCTCTATTAATTTTTCTCATACTTGCCTTGTTTCCAAATAGACTGAAAAGCCCCTGAAGAATGGAGATGATGGTTTATGCATCTTGTCATCTTAACATGCAGTGTAGTGTCTTGCATACAGTAAGTGCTCAAAAAATGCTTGGTGATGAAGAAAATGACAGTATCAAGATTTTAGAAGTCCTAAAAAAGTTTTGGAATTCCTTAGAATTCCCATGTTAGAGGTCATGCTCTCTCATCAGAAAGCAATATACAGTGAAAATATTTTGGCCGTTGCCCAAAAGGAGTTCATAATCTAATGAGGGAGGCAGACTGACCTAATTTTCCCTTCTAGATTTCAAGTTCTATGAAGGCAGGGATCATTTAAACAATTTCATCTCAGTGGCTGCCATGGTGCCCTTCATGTAGACACTTGATAAATATGGAGGAAAGGAATGAACAGATGTAGGAGACTTAATCAAAACATACAATCAGCATAAACATACACCAATACAATAATTACAAGAGTAAATCCACTGAGAAATTATAGGGTGAGGATTGTTGTTTATCCAATAAATCCCTATGCCCTCAAATTAAAAAAAAATAACCCATCATCACAGAACTTTCTCTCTGGGCTGATAAAAGGAATGACTAGGTCTACACTAGGCCAGGGTCCCTCTTCTATGCTTCCATTTTCAGTAGAACCAGATTATTGAAGAACAGGTCAAGGATAATGTATGTTTTAGATGACCTCATGTAATTTTTCGTCCTTAATTCCTCCATATGAGTTTGTTTCCAAGCTGCTGGCGCCATGACAGCTGCCTCAGATATCCCTCCCAGCCTGATGGCTCCTACTAGCCACTGGTCCTGGATCATTGTGGCCATAGAGAGCAGAGCTTTGGCTTTAAGTGTTATATATAGAAAGTACCTGAGTTGAGAAGCAGAGAATTCTGTGAAAAGGCAACATAGCTATGCATCTGCCTATAACTGCTGGTATTCCTGAAATTCATATGATCATAGACTTGGAGCTCACATGAGCCTTAGAAGTCATCTAGCCCAATCTTCTTATTTTACAGATGATGAAACTGAGGCCCAGAGAACTTCAATGACTTTCACAAGATTATAAAGATAGTCAAGATTTGAACTACTGGGATTCTAGGATTTGAACCCAGATCCTTTGGCTCCAGATTCAACACTCTTTTCTGTACCAGACTGATTATAGGTAAAATTCCTGCTTTTATGTGTAAGATGTATGTGCCCATGTCAGATATATATGTTTACATGGGTTGTCTAACTCATAGCCTGTAGGCGGCATGGATGGGGAGCTCTGTAGTCTACCTCACCCTTCTCCGAGGGCACCTGTGATTTTTCCTTTGAGGAGAGCAGGAAAAGGGCTATGACTGAGCATGTGTTCCTTCATTTGTCTATATGTAAGAGGGATACACACACACACATGTGTAACCACACACACACTACACATACATGTATGTGTCATATAATGTTTGTGTGTATAATGCACATGCATATGTGTATATACATATACATATACATATACATATACATATACATATACATATACATATACATATACATATACATATACATATACATATACATATACATATACATATACATATACATACATATACATACATACATACATACATATACATACATACATACCTCCTCAAATATCTGGTCTAAGGAATTAGGAATGTTGTTTTTTTTTTTTTAAAGTTAGAAATAAAAGCCACTTCCTTGGTTACTCTTAAAGGGGGAGATTAGTCCTTTAGTCTTTTTTGTCAGCTTTATCTCCTCTTACCAAACAGTGGTCACACAAAAGATAAACAGCCATAGTGAATAAACACATTTATCCAAGCAAAACAACAGTTAGAAGTTGGAGAAATTCTACAGGTTAGAATAAACCACAAAATACAACAGTTAATGTGCTCTTTAGATGGCAGTGAGATAAGATCTTAGCTCACACGTGAAGAGCCCGATCCCAGGCAAAGGGAAAGCCTCTGGATTCTCTAGGGAGGTAAGCTGGAAATCAGAGGAATGTGGAGGATCTGGCTTCCCCTGCATGTCTGCAACTTCCAAAGTCCTTCCATGTGTCTCTTCCCGAAGAAGCTCTGGCCCCAACTCCTCCGCTTACATAAGGGAGAAGCATTCTATCAGCATTCTTTTGGCTAAACAAGGGTCTAGTCTCCCCTAACAAATGCAGCAGCATAAAAATGCCTGATTCTTCATTTAAAGCCTTTTCCCAGAATTCTGTGCTTTTCAGTTCTGGTGAGAGCTTCAGTGTGCTTTTTGAGACTAGTGATGTCTGCTCATGCTTGATGTGGAGGCGAGACCTGATGCACCTCTCTGTCTGTCTGTCTGTCTCTCAGTCTTTCTCTGTCTCTCTCTGCATTTCTCTGTGTCTCTCTCCCCTCCCTTTTCTTTACCTCCTCCTTCTCTCCTCTCTCTTTCTGTCTCTCTCTCCCTTCCCTTCTCTCTCTCCTCTCCCTTTTCTCTACCCTTTCCCTCCTCTCTCTGTGTGTCTCTCTCTCTGATGCGGCATGGAATGATTATTGGGTGGGCATAGTAGATCATGTGTGTACTTGTGACAGAGGGTATGTATACATTTGTGTGAGTAAAGAGTAGAGGGGAGAGGGAGAAGAGGGATAGAGGGAAAAAGAGAAGCAGAAAAAAGAAAGAAGGGAAAGGGAAAGAAAGGAGCAGGGGAGGGAGCTGTTAGTGATAAGGCTATGCAAAAGCTGTGGGAATTCAAATTAGTTAACATCTGTAGGAAAGAATGACCAGATCTAAGAGAATATGTCTAGTATGTTAGGTGACCTTGGCTGGTGGGAATGTGTACATGAATCTATGGAAACATGGGTAAAGTAAGAATCAGGGTGGGTTCTGGAGGCAGGCATCCCTTGCTGGTGTAGCTAGCCCAAGAGCTAGGGAATAAATCCCGGATCATTCCCGGATCATCTTCAATTACCCTGGATGACCACTTGTCAGAAATGTGTTGAGGATTCTTGGTCCTGTATGGAATGGACTGGTGGCCTATGGGTTGTTTTCCAACTCTTAGGTTCTGTTGTTCTATAAACCATACTCTTTATTTTGAAGTACTTTGCAGGTTGTACTATACTATCCTGGTTAAGTGTTCAAATGCCTTTTCTGCTTTTCTTTCTTTTTTTGTCCAGACCTAGAATTTCATTTGTGTGGGTAAGTCCCTTTACCAATGCATATCAGCAATTCATCTGTAACTTGGAATAATAGGATCATACATTTCATTCAGGACAAGGAAGAAGAGGACCCAGCAGAGAAGGGCTCCCAATGGATTTCAAGCTCAAATTAGGAACTTGAGTGGGTTAATAACAGGAGTGGGCCCATACCCAATGGAACTGTCTTACAGGGGAAGATGGCCCAAAACCAATGCCTACCCTGATACTTTGAATCCCATGCATTCTCCTGCTCTACTAATGGAAATGAGACACAGAAAGGGTATTCACTACTCACCATTGATCACTCGAACATCCACTAACAAAGGAGTAGAAAAAGGCTCAAGGGAAAGAGGTGGCATCTGGCCATTCACATTCAAAATGCCTTAAAAATGATTATCAAAATATGGCCATTTGTGACAAATTAAAGGTGAACCAGCTCTAACTAGACTTAGGTTTCTCTGAGTGAAGTATTTAATTAGACTTAATTAGCTTTCTCTGGATGGAACACTGAATATTTTCTCTACTTAACATGTCTGTCCTTAATACTGATGTCCTAAGAGAGTTCACTCTGCTGAGTTTATTCAGTCACTTAAAAAAAACACAACAACCTTGCTACACAATTTACTAATCATCCCTTCTGGTCCAGGTGCCCCCTGCCTATTTAGAAGATTGGGCCCCTGTGACCCTACTAATTTAGTTTTCCAAAGTGAAAGAGGAGGAAGCCAACAGAAACAGGAATTAGCAATTCAATTTATAGCATCATTCATTTGGAGTTGGAAGGGACCATCTTGTCTAACTTTCTCATTTTACGGATAAAAGAATAAGAACCAGGGAGGTAATATGACTGGTGCAGGGCTATGCAAGCAGCAGATACCAGAAGTGTGATTGAATCCAGATCCTCTCCTCCTAGAGCACGTATTCTTTCCATGATTCTTTTCCATCCTGACTCTGACTTCAATTCGGTGCATTCATTAAACCCCTAACATGTACAAGTCCTGAAGCAAAGCAGCATAAAGGTGGTTGACCTTGGACTCGGGAAGATCCAGATTCAAGTTCTGCCACTTTTATCACTACCTGGGCAGTCACATGGTCTCTCAATGACCCCCAACAACTCCATAAGACTGAGTCACAGAGGATGAGCACGTTTGCATGGGTAAAATTAGTTTCCATACCCAGATCTTTCTTCAATGATTAAATCACAATTTCCTCTCCTCCTCAAAACATGCAAAACTCGAAGAACCAGACTTCAGTGAAACCAGGACTAGAAACAAGTCCTCTGGAATCTTAGTTCATTCAGTATTCATCTCCCTCAAAATTTCCCGCATTTTCCACCAATTTTCATTTCCTAGTATGAATCCCAACAGTAATTGAGCCTGGAGGTCCCCATTTTCATTCCCACTTGGACAGTCTTCCTCTAAATTGACTCACTGCTTGAAACTTTAGCCCAGCGTGACAAACTTGTCTTAATGTTTTCCTTTTTCACATCTGGTTGGAGATAAATTCTCAGCAATGGTCTTGGAGTTAATGATTCTAGATGACACCGCACCTTCTTGTTCTCAAAGCATTTTTGTAGAAAAACACACAAAGATCGTTGCCTCCTCCTGACCTATACCAGATGTTCAGCATGCACATGGCACACGGGAGGAATGCATTTGAAAGAGCTTGGGCAGGCTAAAGCCACATCCTGACAACAGGAAGGGGGAGATCATCAAACCTTACTCTATAGCTCCTGGGGAATGTAATGACTGTTACGTTATTCCAAGAAGGCCATTGTTGCCAGTGCCCCCAAAATGAGCCAAGGAAGACCAAAAGGAGATGAAGAGACTCAAAATTTCCCCCAAAGAAGGAGTCGTGGCTCTAGAAAAGGTTATGGGGCACAGGGAGAAAAGGAGAGGTTCACAAAACACAGGATCTGAGTTCAAATCCTACTTCTGGGCTCACTGTCTGCTCGTCACCTCTGTCTCTGAATCCCAGTTTATTCATCTGTAAGATGAGAGCTGGAGTAGATGGCCTCTGAGCTCTTACCTAGCCCTGGTCCTCTGATCCTATATCCTGAGTTTTGAGTCTAGACTCTCTGCTTTGTGATGTGGGTTGAATCATACAACCTCTCTGGGCTCATATCTGTAAAGCAAGAAAGATAAATAGCATTCATAGATCCTTGAAGATGTCCAGTATACATTACACTCATATGGCCATTTGACTCCCCTCCCAAGAAAAAATAAATTTATTTGATATATTTTTTCTACACACTAATTTAAGGACAATAAGCTACGGAAAGCAAGGCATTTCTTTTTTCTTTTCTTTTTTTGGCTATGAAACAAGAATCGAATATAGTGTTTCAGATGGTGCTTGTTGACTTGAAAGAAGTGAGACAAGGGTTGACTTAATTGAAGTAGAAGAGGTGTTTGCTGGCTGGCCAAGAAAGATGCTGTCTTCTCTGTAGGCAAAGTCAGATAAACCATCTGTAGAATTAGGGTACCAAGAGATCTTAGAGGCCACCTAGTCCAACTCCCTTATTTTACAGATGAGGAAACTGAAGAAGACAGAACTTAAGTGATTTACCCAGGGTCACACAGCTAGTAAGTGTCAGAGGCATGATCTAAACATTTCAGTAAGTAAAATACACCTGACTCAGGGTAAATAATAAAGCAGAATAGACCTGACTCATGATAGGTAGTTGGGGATATGGTGGATAGAGCTCTGGTCCATGAGTCAGAAAAAAAAAAGCCCTTATGGGCTGTGTGACCCTGAGTAAGTCACTTAAGCATTGTCTGCCTCACCTTCTTTTTTTAATATATTTTATTTCCCCCCCAATTGCATGTTAAAACAATTTTTTGAACTTTTCTTTTTTAAGTTTTGAGTTCCAAATTCTACCCCTCCCTCTCTCCCTGCTTCCTGAGATGCCAAGCAATCTGAAGCAATTTATGCATGCTGCCTCACTTTCTATATCTGTAAAGCAGGGTTAATAACAGGACCTAACTCTCATAGTTGTGAGGATGAAATGAAG